AGTTCACGACCAATTCGGTTCACGACCAGAGTCGCGGAACGAATTAAGTTCGTGAACCGAGGTACCACTGTACTTCTTTAAGACTTGGTGTTTGAGAATCTCAACCATTGCTGTAATGGTGTATTCCATTACCTGTGCTAAAAAAAAGACCTTGTCCCATCTGTAGTCTTTATTGGCAATAATATTGTATTGACTGTTCATATGCTATTGCCCTTTTAAGATGAAGCCATACAGCAATGACAGAACATTGAGAAGTGGTGGAAAAAGTGATATTTGCTTTATTTCCAGCAGGGATAGATGTGTTTGGAAGCCAGGCATTTGCAAAGCTTGTTTGGCCTGCTTTCAACAAGTTCATATTGATTTTCCTTACCCATCTTGATCTGGAGTGTTACTGCTTTCAGGTATCTAACAATTGATATAACTATTGATAAAGGCTCCAGTAAACCCAAAGAACAATGTAAAAACATTTTAAAAAATAGCAAGGAATTATATGCCATAGTAAGACCAGGTTAGGGACAGATCATCATGAAGAAGATCTAACTGTGGTTGTTAAGAGTCGACAACAACTTGATGGCACGCAATCAATCAATCAATATGCTGTAGTACCTTAAAGGTATTTCTCTATTATCAACCTCTGGAGAACTCTGCATTTTGATTTTTAGTGGAAACTCCTGCCCCCACATAAATACATTGGCAACTGGCCAGTCCTAGCCTGATAGAAGAAGCCGAGCAGCCTGAAGGGCTCAGGTTTATCCTAGTTAATTGCAAATTAAGAGAATAGAAAATAAACCAAAGAATTCCTGATGTCTGGGTTTTGCTTTAAAATGGAGAAAATAACATTTTTCTCCTATTGCATGTGTATATTCCCAAGCACAGAGACATTCCCATGATGATGGGACACGTGAAGCAAATAGCAATATCTTACGATGGTTTAAACAACCTCAGAAGGAAGCGATTTATTGACTTTGAGTAGTCCTCTCAATCTGAAGTTCTCCAGATACGTTGGCTTACAACTCCCAACTGACTGAACTAGCTTGTAGCTCAGAAGCGCACCAAGTTGGAGAAAGCCATTTTTATTATATGATTTTTAGTAGATCTTAAAATCTTTAGCATTTTTGTACCTGCAAGATCTAAGCCAAGTACTGTATGGTTTAGTTTACTTTTTCTAGAGTGCCCGATTCTAATACAAATTAAGGCAGCTGGAATGAAAGCCGTTTAATATAAAATTGCTACACATGTTTATAGCTTTAGGTATATCTGAGAATACAAGTTACAAAGGAGAAGCCATATCTCCCAGGATTATTGTAATGAGGATAAAACTGGGGAGACTGCCATGTAAATTATGAGCTAAGGGAGGATGTAAAAGCTAACATTAACTTTAAGCTGGCTTAAAGTTTGTACATTGCTTCCCTTATTGGATACTTTTTGTACTAGCTGGCCCTATCAAAAGTTGTATGAAACATGAAAGCTTGCATTTCTTTATGGCATTTCAGGGATCTTAATGAAGATATTGTCTGGCTGTGGATTTTAGCTTCCTTTTTTTTCTCATGGCCCAATAAAAGCAATCTTTTTTGTCTAATGAAAGATGTTGATTGAGAAAACTCTGTTTGACCACATGGTGTTGCTGTTTGCTCACTTTGCTATAAAATGTAAGGATTTCCCTTCCACAGTCAGTTCTCAGCTTTTTCTTTGACCAGGCACATGGAGCAGACTGCTTCAGATTAGTGGATTTCATAAAAGCAGAAATCTGTGACCAAAAGGTGCAGTGAGTAGGAAGGCTTTGATGCTTTGTTTCAGGCAAGAAAGGGTCTCTGAACCGTTGCCAAAACTGCCACCTTTTCCTTTTCCTGCAACTAATAATTTTGTATTATATTAAATAATACATTTCTTTTTGCCTTGTGCTTACATTGAGCTGAAATGTTCTTGGACTCTTCTAAAATACAGGTGATGGTACTGGAAGTTTTATCCCTTTTTAAACATGTAACTTTTGATTGCATTGAGTGTTTTGTCTTCCTCCAAGCAGCACAAAGTGCCTGGCCTTCAAATTGCTTAAACATTTAGGAAAGAGCTTTGAATTGAGAGAGAAATCTCAATTTCTTTGAGAATTGAAATATAGAACCACCAATTTGGGTGGTTCTATATTACAGAAAAATGTATGGACATTTATAAGATCCAAATGACAAATAATGAGGAGTGAATAAAGCTATTTCCAATCAAAGGGCTCTTAACACTATCAATTAAAAGGCATTGCGCAGTCAGCTTTCCTTTTGGGTTTTTTTTGTTTTGTTTTGTTTTAAACTCTCTCCCTGTAATAAGAAAAAGAAAAATAGCAGCACTAGAGCCAAAGTGGAGACTGTAGATTAAAAAACATTTTTGACATTTTATAAATTCCGTGAATGTAGCCAGGCAGTTGCATAGTAAAACCCTCATCGGTCATTCCCCACATGTCTATTTTTCAGGGGAGTTCTCTGTCTATACAGTTTTCAAATGCTTGGCCAAGCAAATACTTGGTCTTATCCAGCAAAAGAGTTTTTGAGATTTAAATTTTAGATTTATATTCATACTGATTTATATTTTTTTCTTAGTATAAAGGGATAATTGAGAACTACCTAACGGAATCTATAAAGCTCAGTCCAGAAGATCAGCCCACAACCAAATGTTGCTGACATCCCATTTGGAATGATTTGACATTTACACAGTCTGAAAGTTGGCGCATGGAACAGCTGTTGCTGCTTGGGAATTCAGCCCATCGGGGCAGAGGATGAACTGATACCGTATTGCCCTCTGGCATCCTAGCAAAGATGGAACAGACTGCTGGTTACTGAACACACAGACATTCAGGAATCAGCATCAAGAATCGGGATAATGTTTAACCAGCTGAAAGAGATAACCTTACTGTATCAGTCAGACCCCTCTAAGATGCCACTTCGAAGTTCAGATCCATGTTCCAGAATACTCCATGGAATGACTTGATCTTATTTTGAAGCTGTCTCCTATATTTTGTCATGTTCTATTGGTAAAACTGCATAGATAAGCTCTGGATCATCTTGGTCCAGCTTGGGGTTTTCTAGATATGATACAGCTTAAACTCCTGGAATTCCCAGATAGCACAGCTGAAGGATAAAGGCTCTAGAGTGGGTTGGGAAAAGCTGACCTAGATAGTTCAGGCACTGCTGCTTAAATAATATACATATGTGGTACATTCCAGATACTTAGATGCCTATCCCTCATTTTATTCCCACAGCAACCACTGTATGAGGTATGTTGAGCTGAGAGAGAGTAACTTGCCTCAAATCATCCAGTGAACTTCCATGGTAGGGAGTTGACTAGAATATAAGTCTGCATAGTCTAGGTCTAACACTGAACCCCTAGACCAAACCCAGTGGGTTACCCCTCTCAATTCCTGACCTTGAAAATACAATGTTAATCTAAGAATATTGATTTTGCAACAGAAATGCAAAACTTTTAATATTGGTTCACTAATATTACACAGAATTGGAAGCTAATATCACATAGATATTTATGACAATTTTTGCATAAAAACAAATGCCCTTGAACAAAGAAAATACTGTAAAACTATAAATGTAGACTCCATCTTCAGTGTCTTTATCTTTATAAAAGGGATAGCGCTTACTTAAAAAGCAGTTCTGCGGAGAATTTTTTTAAAATATGGAAGAAAAATGAAATATTGAAAAAGGGAATATAATGGAATCAATTTGTACATGGAAATATATAGCAGACATTTGAAAAAGGGATCTCTTTTTTAAAACATTGGATGGCTAGTATTTTATTGCCGCTGTTCAAGGACCTTGTTTTTCACTGAAAAGAGTCCCTGATGTGAATTGTATTTATATAATAGACTGAAGCCATTTTCAGAAAAGATGTTCTCACATTGAATCAGTGTGGAAACTGGGAGCATAATCAGGCCAATTAGCACCCTCCCTGCCTGCCGTCTACTTCTTTGTTGGATATACAGTACTTACAAGAAGGAAAGTTGCAGGTATTAGGGAAAAATACTTTCTTCTTATAAAAGTTAATGATGCATATATATGGATTGAAGAACAGAGTAAACTGGCACACGAGATAAAGATCAGGTCAGGACTAGCTGATGTAAACATCCGTTCCTTGCTCATATATTGAGTGAATGTGTCATCTTCTTTCAAACAAACAAACAAAAGAGGCTAGACTAATATTTAAAATAACTATATAGCTCGGCCAGTGCAGACCGCAATTGTAATAAAATTATTAGTTAATGCAGTTAATGGAAGGATTTTTATTGAGAGAATAAAAAGAACCAAATGGAGTCTGAACTGATATCTCATTGCAAGCCAGAATGAACTGGGCAGGGAAACATGATCTTGTGAATCTGTTCTGGAAATATTTTGTTGACTGTACTTCTTGAACACCTTGGAATTCAGGTTTGGCTGGTGAGGACAGAGCCAAATTCATTTTTGGATATTGTGCTGCCAACTCAATTAAAATTGAATTTAACAGAGATGTGAAATTGTTCATTTGGAAGAAAGAAATCAAATGCACAATTGTAGGATGGTTGCACCTGGTGGTGGTGTGTGTGAATGAATCCTAGAATTTTAATTGAGCATACAAATTGTATATAAGTGTGATTGTGTATATATATTAGCAGTATTGATGCAGTCTCAAAATGTGTATTTTGGGACTGCATTAATAAATCATAAATAGCAGTTATTATATTCCACATTGAATATTACAGGTCTAACTGATCATTAGGAAAAAACCTAACGGCAAGAACACTTATCAGGAGAAGGGGTGAGCCCCATATCACTGGATGTGTTCAAGTAGGGCTGGATCTATCAGGGATTTTTTATTTGGATTCCTGCACTGAGCAGGGGTGGGAGCAAAAGTGGGAGATTGGGCTCAGTGGCCTGAATGCCTCCTTCCATGTCTATATTTCTGTGAACTTGATATATTCTGCATACTGTATACTGAACTACAGAGTAGAGCTTTCCAGGTCAGCTGAATGGAATGGTGTACTTTAAAGTTCCCCATACTGAAATCATCCATAAATGTCTGCAAGTTGGAGATTTGGTGGGCAACTACAAGTGAGTTAGCCAGAATGTAGATTGTGTAATACATGTGGTCAAAGGTATGAACATGTAAAAATAGTTTTTCTTAAAAAGATTTTCTTAAACATTTTTAAAAAGTCAGTTGTGGGAGAGTAGCTCATAAAAGTGGCACATACAAGCATATTTCTTTGTCCCACTAACAATTATTCTATAAAATGTGTATTCAGTTTGATTAACCAATTAACACTGTATTCAGTATTTACTACAAAAGAAAAGCTGCTCAGGGATGAGCTCCAGAGTCAGTGTTAAGTTCACATAATGTGGTTTGATTGTGGCTTATCTTATGTGAATCCTGCCACTGCTATTTGTGATCTGTGGTTTGTAGTGGGAATGGCAACCTTTTTGAGACTACGGGCAGCACATAATTTGAATTTGAGTAGGTCAGCAGTCACAGTGGCAGGGCCACATCATGTAAGGGGGCAGAACTGCAATTTACCTTTTTTTTTTCCTCGATGCTTGTTAGTTTTCATTTTTTAAAACTGTTTCAGACTTAGATTTTTTGTGTGTTTTCTGCCTCAGAATAGCAGAACACTGCTGTGAGTTTTTCGCTTTAATGTGAATTTGGTAAGAAGAGTTCAGGACTGCAAAGAGGAGATTCTGGGTTCCATTTCAGTTGCAGGATGCCCACCCAAGGTTTAGGGCTTAGTGTATTATACAAAACAAGGCAATTGCATTTATTTAATCATGGTTATTAGATCTAAGGGTCCATCTGTGGTACAGCTGTAGCTCAGCAAAAGTAAATCCAATCATGAAGGCAGCAAAGCTGATGGCTAGTGAATGCAGTGACAGTAATATTTTCAACACTGATTTGCTTGGTTTCTCAACTGCCTTTCTAGTCAAGGTCAGTTTAGGCAACTGTAAGTTTAAAACAGTATACAGGCTGGATGGATATTTCTGGAATACATATACAATATAATGCCAACCCTTACTTATCCCCAACCACTAAATGTCTGCCTAAATACAAACACCTTGCATCACTTCTGGAGGGTATCCAGGTCTGATCTTTGGTAGCTCTCTGGCAGGGTGGAGAACCCTTTTCCTCTCAAGGACCATATCCTCAAAGTGAGTAAAGCCACCCCTCTTCTCTTTCCCTTCCTTCCCCAACCAGTGGGCAACCAGGACATGCCATTATTGCCCAAAATCTGGACTAACAGCATGCAGATCTTTAATAAATTTTAATTTTAGGGCTGTGGGAAAAGGAAATTAGCATTGCACTTGAATGACTTTATCAGAATTTGGCATTGGGGATGTGACCAATAGCTTGTGCCAGAAGACCCACGTTGGATTAGAACTGTCAAGTGGGGTTATGGAGATTTTACCAGCACCCAGACCTCCTATGTGCATTATTTGTACTGAAATATAATAGCAGTCATAAGGTCAATAATAGCTCACATCTTCATGGCTTACCCACCATCAAAGAAAAGGCAGGCATATAGTGCTTGGCCATTAATAACGCAATTGTCCTTCATGAATTGGTACTTAGCCTCTTCCTTTTGAGAACCAATAGTAGGCTTCCATAAAAGATTTTTGTCCTGCTGTTACTACTAGTAACTCTTCCAGTGTAACTCTATTTTTCTTAACTGCATAGGGTAAGAATGGTTGGAAGCTTTGTGGATCCTATCATTCTTTATTTCATCAGGAAAAATGGAAACATCAGTGAGATGCAAGCCCTCTGGCCCCTAAATAAAATTCACTTAAGATGGCAAGAAGATTAGTGCCTTGCATGACTCCAGGTAACCCAGATTGGGCTCCATAGAAAAAGGCTGTAGTACCAACTTTAGTTCTATCTCCTGTTTATCGCCTTCGGAGATAAGTTGACTTTGCAGGCAAGGAAGAGGTTCCAAATCTAAAATCATTCCTATTGACCTGGGAACCTGAGCGATTTGGCCCTTTGAGTAATAACATTAGCCTTTCTGTAACATAGCACTCTCCAGATTGTAACACCCCCCCCCCCCAAATTTCTGCAGTTCTAAACCAGTATGCACATGATCACATGTGGTATAAATTATGCAAGTTGTTATTAAAAGACATCTTGTGCTTACTGAGTACATCAGTATTCCCCAACCAATTTTTTACTTTTGGCTTGGTAGTACCATATTCTCCTGGGTTAGACTCAATAACCTGTCAGATACTAGGCTGCAGACATTTATCTTGACATGAAAACATGATTTAGCACTGCTGAATACTGAGGAGGAACGAGGCCAGCCCTGCCAGTCAGGAGTGTGGAAACCTATTTTAGATGGCACAGTTATGGGGAAAAGAGACATGCAAGAACTTCGTGTTGTCTGAATTTATGCAATCAGACTTTATGAAGTGTTGGCCCTAGGAGGCCTGGAGAGGTATCATTTGGACTCAGCATGAAACAGCCAGATGTCTTTGACCTACGCTCAGGAGGAATTGTCATGAATGGGCACCATTGGACTCTTCTTGAGTGGTTAATGGGATTAAATTGCATATTGTGGCACTACCTAATCAGGCATCACCAAAAAAACCACCACACACAGAGAAGAAAGCATTGATTTGCATAACCTTTTACTATATTTTAAAGAGAAAATAGTCCATCTCTCCACAATGCAGAAGAATCCACTGTGCCTTATTGTAACAGGTGCACACTGATGTTGGACGACTTCAAATTTGCTGCAACTCTCATTTTAATATTCTTGACACAATGTTTCCAGCTGTTTCTTAAGCCAATGTCAGAAATTCCAGTCTGTATTGCAATGGGTTGGTAGCAGCACTGGGCTGGTGCTCTGCCCAGACTATGGTCACCACTGGACCAGACAGACTGTTCCTTGCTTCTTGCCCTTCCCATCTGTGCAGGGAAGACAAGCCTCACTGGATAGCTCATGTGTGGACTAGTCTACCAGTGTCTGACTTTCCTTTTTACGGATCATTCCCTCCTTACTAGTCCCAGAAGTTTGCACACATGGATGCTTTCCCACATTCCCTCCTTTAACATTTAACATTTTACCTCCTGTTGTTTGTGTTTGTGGGTGTGTCCCTTCAGCTGGAGGTAGAAGATGTGGGGTGGGTGGGGTGGTGAGAGAGGGGAGATGGTAGGGGAGGGCGCTGCAGTGGCGACAGGCATGAGAAGGTATGGTGGGAGACAGGGCGGGCCCCTCTCAGGGACAGCAGCCTCAGTGTTTAAGTCTATTACTGCATTCTGTCCCCCTTTGGCAGCCTGGGTAGAAACCAGAAAGGTGTCCATTGGGAGGGTTGAGTGGAGCATGAGCTTCTAAGGGTTAGGATAATTCAAGACTTAATGGGTCATCAGTGGATCAACAGCAACGTTGTAAAATAAAAAAAGATGAAGAAGATAGGAACCCAGCAGCTCAGGACAGAATGGCTGCACAGGGCAGGGACCAGCCACTAAAGGGGAGGGGCATGTCCAATGCTGTAGCCAATTGGAGCTGCTACTATACACTATTGCAATGTTTCTCAACCTTGGCAACTTGAAGATGTGAGGACTTCAACTCCCAGAATTCCCCAACCAGCACGCTGGCTGGGGAATCCTGGGGGTTGAAGTCCACACATCTTCA